CTCCATTTTTATATTGGTTTAAATGGTTTTCTTTTTTTTTTTTTTTGGAGGTTTTTGCTATAGGGCGCGTGCACTTGCCAGACAGAGACAGAAAGCAAGAAATCATCCCCAAGGGGGATGGCCACGCCACAATCCTTTCTCCTCCATTCTCCTCTCGGGATCTTGGGCACACATGCACACGCACCCAGCGTGAGTTTAAGCCACTGGGTCCGGGACTCGAACCACAGTCGACTACAAGGGAGTCCAGTGACATAGCCATTACGCTAACTGCTGGTCCCTGAAACCCTCTTTATTAACACAAGAGCTGGAGAGTCAGACCCACCACACTGCCATAGAGAGGACAATACACTGACAGTACCGTGTGGCACAGGAAGAGAGAACTTGGCACCTGCTCCAGAGCATAGTTCAGCAAGACCAGCTTCTGCATGGAGCCACGGCCTGCCCTGGACAGCTTCTCTGCCACGGGCAACATGTAGCACATCAGGCAAGACTAGCTCATCCCCACCAGACACGGGAAGCCAGTGGGCATCCAGGAAGAGGGGGCCTGTGCTCAGGGGCACGCCTGCAGCCTGCTCTTCATGTTCCAGGCTGGAAAGAGGGATACCGCTGCTCTCTGCCTTCCATGGACAAGCTATCAGGAGTAGGAACTACAGAGTCCAGGGTCCAGGGTCCGACCAGCCCAGGGCCTCACTGCTGCCTCATGGCAAGCCGGCCCTAGATATCTGGGCTGTTCGATTTGCTGCCACAAACACCCTCTTAAGGGTGGACAAGCATACTGATTTAGGAACATAAACCCTGGTAAGTTTCAATCTAATTTTGACTAGCCACGTAAGTTTTTACTTACATGGCTGACAAAGTGGGAGGCCAGAAGCCCTCCTGCTCAGCCTCCCCCTGCAGGGCCCATGGATCACCTGACCTCAAATACATCCACTGCCTTTTCCCTAGGTCTTAACCAGCAAATCCACCTGTGTCATTTTCCACTAAATCTCGTCCTGCTCATTTCTGCTCCCTCTCCCATCCTCATGGCTTCCTCAAACCTTTTTCTCCCAGGGGTTCACTACAAAGCCCTCCACCAGTCATGAATACGAGGTCACTAAGATGGTCCTAACACCCCACCTAAAGGAGCTCCCCCAACCTGCCTGGGTCCTACCACTCACATTCCTCTACACAAAGAAAAAGACCCTAGCATGTCTTTCTCCCAGCCATGTCCACATCCCAAACTAAACGAGCTCCTCTCTCTTCTCACAATCCCACAGTGACTCAATTATTGCTATTGCCCATGGCAGTGAAGCTGGTCGAAGGCTTTTTGCAAGTCTAAGCAGCTTGCCCTACTTCCTTTCTGCCTGATCCATGTAAGTATGTGTCCCCTCAGAGAATACAAATCGATCGGCCAGGCAAGGCTGCACGCCACAAAATCCCAGTTGTCTTTTGCCCATGAGGTGGTTTCTGCTTACATTTTCCATGATTCTATCTATGTTTCATCATAGATCCTATCGGCCTGCCCAGCTTAGAAGCCAATTAATTATAATTATGTAAAGGCTTGTTTCTGAGAAGTTCATGTACCTTAGAAGCAGGCCTTGGAATTCCTGGCATAGATTCAAGAAACACTATGCTTAGCACGTGGCAATGAAGAGAAGCCGAAGACAGACCTGCACTTTGTCCAGTACGTGTGCCAGGTGATCACATGGCCCTGGTCAAGCTCATGGCCTAATGACCCATTCAAGTTAGCCTTGGCGCTTAACCAGGACAAGCTCTGCTTCATGCCCTTGCTGAGCGAGCTTGGCTCAGGACAGCAATAAAGCCGCAGGGAGGGAAATGCGCTGCGTGGAGTCCCCATACCTCTCCTCACACTCAGCCCCCCAGGAAGTCTCTTCAACCCCATCCGCAGTCACCTCCAACCCCAGCGAAGAGTCCTCACTTGGGAAGAGGGGCAGTGGCAGGCAGTGAGATCACGAGCCAGGACAGGAGCGAAAAGCTCATCTACTCCAAGCCTCCCCTACAGTGAGGGGAGTGCCCTGGGGAGGGGCAGCAGTGAGAAACAGATGCGGAGCTTCGTTTTTGTCTTTTTTTTTTTAACATTCTATGAATTCACAGAAGAAACATACCATACCTATTCATCAGTGAAAGTGAAAAATATACTTGAAATGCTAATCCGATGAGCTGATCATTCTTAATGCTCACATCAGGGGCAGCAGGCTGCAGCCACTCAAGAGGTGACTGTGAGTATCACCGCTGTGTGGTGACATCCAGTTGGCTGACCTCTCCCATCTCACAGGGGACTCACAGGTCACAGGAGGAGATGGGAAAGGCAGGGAAGTTCCTTATTAAGTATGGCGCTCTATTCAGACAGAGGGAAATTATGGTTATTCCCATAAGGACTCTGTGGTTAGGAGCTTAGAGGATGAGATGCCAGTTACGACAGAACCCAGAATCATCAGATGAGCTCCGTCCCAGCCTTCTAGGAGCCTCAGAATCACTGGAGACTCAGGGTCACACAGCCCTTGGAGGAAGGTGGGGAAACAAAACCACACCAGCGCTTTGAGCAACTGCCTACAGATTCAGACTGGAGCAAGTAGGGGTACTCCTGGGGATCTGGGTGCCTGGGGGTACCAGGGGCCTGAGTCACAGGGGTGCTGGACTCACTTGCACTCTCAGAGCACTTGGGAACTGGCCTGGAACCTTGGGGCTCCTCTAGCTGAGCTGAACCAGGATGAAGCCATAGAAAAGGCAGATGACCTTGACTAAAACTCCCACTAAGCCAGCATCCTTCCAAAAGCCCTCTTGGAAAGTCCCATCTGCTGGCCTTTTTCAAGTCCCTGACAGCCTCCCTCTACCTCGGGCGACTCCAGGGCCAGCCGGTTAATCGCCTCCGGGTCATTCTGCATCTCCTCCAGCTCCTGCAGGGTCTTGTCTTTCAGCGACTCCATCTTTCCCTGTGAACACACAGTGAAACCCAGGTGAGGAAGGGGTGGCTTGGGGGGACAGGTTCCCGGAGCCCACACATACGGAGTGGTTGGGAAAGTCATGACATTTTTTTCTATGTTTTTCTATGTTTTTCTATGTGTCATGGCTTTTCCAACCCAATATTATTTGTCAAGAACAAACTGGAGTTTGTCTACAGTGACAACACTCCACAGGGAAGCTCAAGGAAGGGCAAGGTCCCCTTCAGCACATTCCCATGGCCCTGCCCACCCTCTCCTCTCAGGCAGACCAAGAATCTGCTCCTTCTCCCCAAACCTAAAACAACAGGATACAAGAAGGCACCACCAGACGGCCGAACCATGACTCCACGTGCTGCTAGCTGGAACTCCCCAAGGAGCAGACAGGGAAAGGCAGGGCAGAGAGCCAGCAGGGAGGGAGACTAAATCTGGCCCAAGGCTGCCTGCAAGCATGATGCCGTCATGCCCTCTGGTAGGTGTCTATTTCTGTCTGAACCAGAAATATACCAACTTTCCTACACGGGGACTGTGCTGGCTCCACAGCACAGGCTCAGCTGTGTCACCGCTTGTTATATTTAGCACACCAATAACCTCAGGTTTCCCTCAAGTATTCTCTGTAACTGCAGCCCTCTCCATGTGTCACCAAAGCGGACTGTCACAAGCATGTCCTCCTCAGTGCAGAAAAAAAAAAAAAACACCAAATCAGCCTCTCAGACAATCAGAAGGAAACCAAATAACCTGGATCGGACGTGTGTCTGACGGAGAGCTGGCTTCAGTAGTCCCACCCCAGTCACTGCCCAGAGGGCCATCAGTCATCTGTGTAACAGCTGGATCACAGCCAGGCCCAGGAGGAAAGCCTGGGGACTACGGAAAAGAAGCGCAACACACGAGGCACCCGCTTCCCTTCTGCTGACAGGAGCCTCCAGTGTTACCTGTTTTTATCTTTTCTAGATGTGTTACACACCTTTAATGCTGGTTTTTCTCATTACAAAAATTAAGTTAGTTTTCAAAAGGTCCCACCATCACAGAAAGCCACGGTCCTCACACTCTCCTGCACCAGTGCTTCGCTACACTGAACCGACAATGACGTAGCTAAGAAGGCATTCTGGAACCGAGGAGGGGTCACCACTGCGGACAGAGCGACTTCCTCCAGTCTGCTTCTCTGTCTGAAATAGGAAAGGGGCATCAAAAGACAACAGGAGAGACTGAAAACCACCACATGCTCCCATTTGCCTGGAAGATCTGGTTCACTCCTTAAGTCTCAGCACAGCTATTAATGGTATCCCCTTTTATATTCAAAAGGGTCCTGGTTTGGGGCGAGATGGTAGCATAGCGCTAACACAACTGGACCCACATAGGTTGTGTCCCAAGGCCTCCTTGTACATGGTGAATACACCTGTACATACTCATGATCAGGCTGGGGCTAAGGGTGGACTGTGCCTCTTTCTCACTGTGTACGTGTGTGTCTGTGTCTGTCTCTCTTCCTGAAGGAAGAAATAAATAAATGTCTTGGCTTAAGCAATAAATTACACGGTCACTCTGCTGGCAAAATGCTATCCCAACAGGGTCATCGCCACTATCTGTTATCTACTGAGGGCTGAATGTAGCCCCAACTCCTAAACAGGGACTGCCAAACTTCAGTGTACACCTGAATCCTGGGAAGCTCACTGGCAATGTGGGTGCTCTACCCCATCCATGTAGCCCTGGGTCGGTAGTCTAGGGCAGGGCCCAGAAATCCAGAGTCCCTCCTGAAGGCAGTGATGCAGCAGGTCCAGGGTCAGATTTTTTAGAAAGATGATAGCTCCATGCAGGTTTTGTCAAAATGGCGGCCACTGGTTTCTAAGCACCTGCACTGTGAGTTTTAGCTGTGCTGTCTCTCCTGATAACGCAAGGCTGCCACAAGGGTCCCAAATGCAGATGGGGGCTGGGGGGTGGTTATAAAGATTACAGAGACCCAGCCAACAAATAACAGATCCAAGATTCAAGCCTGTACTCTGTCTATATCTCACCTGCTGCTCCAAAAACGCTCAGTCTGAAAGGTGAAGCAGGCAGATGCTGGCCGTAAAGACCCGGGGGAGGAGAACTGCAGGGAGGCACACAGCTGTCAGCACACAAACCCAAGGGAATCTGCCATGGTCAAAGTGACTTTTGATGATGCTGGAGGCACATCAGGGACACAGCCTCCAGTCAGACAGCTAGTCTAAGGACAGGTCCTGTTACTTGCCAGTTGTGGGTTCTCACACAAGTGATACCCACCTGAGCCTCAGGGTCTTCATTTGTAAATGGGTAGAACAGCAGCATCTCCTCGTAGGGTTGGTGCTGAGCTCAACGAGATAAAACAGGCCAAGTGTTGGTTTGTGTGAGGCCTGGCCTAGAACAAACTCTGTCCGACGATTCCAACACCACAGAAATTACTATTACAAAGGCCTCCAGCATGGCTCAGCTGAGAATGTGCTGGGCCACAGCAGCAGCGCCTGAGCTAGTTCTGCCCAGGCAGTGACCAGCCACAGAACAAAGTGTCTGCTCCCTCCTGCAGTCAGGGCTGAGCACAGCAGACACTGCTGGGCCAAGGGCAGAAGCTCCAGCCCTGGGCAGCTGGCTGGCCACACACAAACCGCAGTGTGCAGCACCACCTACAGAAACACTAGCAGGCTCAGGACTCAGTCTTACACACAGGCAGGTTCCTCCACACCAGCACCAGAGAGCTCTCAGCAGAGCCAAAGAGTCCCAGGACCAGCACCAATTCTCCCCCAGTCACTGACCACAGGGAAACAACAACTGAAGGCAACACAGCCTTCAACAATGGATGGCAAATATTTTGCTCCTGGGATCCCTTTTGGCTCCTGGGATCCCTTTTAGCTCCTAACATTACTGAAGATTCCAAAGAATTTTTATTTATGTGGATTAAAGCTTTCAATATAATACTGTATTAAAAATTAAAAGTGAGAACTTTTATAAAACACAGTAATACACAAGCACACGTTCTTTTAGCTTCCAGAATGAAAATGTGATCCCAGGAGCTGCAGTTCTGAGAACACTCTATATTCATACAAGAGGAGAGTAAAAATACTACCTTAGAATTTACTATAGTTTGAATGACTTCCCAAATACATGTGTTGGGACTTGGCTGTACTATAAAGGTGTTAAGTGGACATTTAATCCCTTCATAATAACCTAGGCCATTGGGAATGATAAGGTTATTAGATCAAGGCCCCTATGACTGAGTTCTGGTGGTTTCAGAAGAGAGGAAAAGAGACCAGAACAAGCAGAAACTTACAGACAGCCACTCTACCTAAGATCCTGCCCTCCACAATGCTGTAGCCAGCCTCATGCCTTTGGATGTTCCAGCCACAGGAATTGTGAGTCAAATAAACGTCTATTCTCTACAAATCACCCAGCCTCGGGTATTTCTGTGAGCAACACAATAATGTACTAAGAATTGTTATGAAAATCACTCTGTCCTTAGGGATGGCCTAAAAGGGTCTTGGAGACCCCTGGGGTCCACAAAACATTCCTTGGGCTATCTGCTTAGAGGTTACAAGAGACTCTAGAGCCAGACTACCTGGTCTGAATCCCAGCTTTGCCACTTACTAGCTTTGTTATTAATTCTCTCTGTGCCTCAGTTTCTCCATCTGTAAGAGCAGTGCCTGGAACACAGTAAGCATCATGTAAGTACTTGGGGACCCTCATGACCATCTTACACAGTGGGTACTGGTACCACCCCAGCTTCCCTGAGGCAGTCTAGAGAAGTGAAGTAACTTGCCCAAGGTCACATAGCTCAGAAATGGCGGTGCCTTCACCAGGCCGGCTTTCTCAACATGTGCATCTGAACTACCCGGAGTTCTTGTTTAAGGCCAGAGTCCTAAGTCCTCCAGACCTAGAACATCAGAATTCCCAGGGTTCTTAATTTAACTTTTAGTGACATTTCCATTTTCACTGGTCTGGCATCTCTTATCTTAGTTTTCCTTCTTTCAACACTCTGAGGGAATTCAGGTGGACGTAGACCCATCTGACAAAGAGAGAGCAAAGGCCTCAGCTCTGTAGGGGCACATGCCAGTATTTAAGCTCTAGATTAGCAATCCCGTGACCACGAGCATTACCAAGTGAGGCGTCATCAGAGTCAGCCACCATACAACCAAGACCAACAGGCAGAACGATGTAGCTACAGTTCATAAGAGCCCACACTCTGGAGAACTTAGGTGGGGTGTAGGGTTTAGGGGAGGGACAGAGCGAGATTTACATGAGGATGCTTGCCATGCTGTAAGGCTCCCAAAAGGCAATAGGTCCCACCCTACATGGAGCCTGAGTGATGGGCTGAGGGTAGTTACCCCCCAGCTGCTGCCTCCTCTGCTCACTGGCCTCTCCTGCTTCAGAAAGCACTTCCACGTGTGCAAGGGACACAGCTCCCATTTCTTCTTGAACAGGTATGCTTAGGACCCCACTCCCAACTTTCCCAAACAGCTGGAGGTTAAACCACTCCCTTCAGGGACTCGATTTTCCCTACTGTTAAAATAGGTAAACACTCAGGGTCACATGGCTCCTTTCTTCTGAGATCAGAGGCCTTTGCAAACTCTTCCATTAATTTATATAACCACTCTAGTAAGTAAAGTAAGCACAGGGCTTAATTACCCTATTTCAAAGAAGAAATTAAGTCCAAGAAGAAATAGGAAGTGTACTGTTCCAGGTCCAGTGAGCTTCTTGGGGTCAAATCATTGAGGGCCCAGTCTCTTCCCTCCTCTGGAGTCTTCATTTTAGCCACACCTTTGTCCTACCTGCTCTGCCCATCACGAGGCTGCAACAAGGAAAGAGCTGAGTTATAGGGCCTAGATGTGGATTACGGCCCAAGATAAGATTACACCCCACGCAAGCACGCTAACTACCCTGGCCACTCCTAGGTCCCTGCCTCCAAGATGGAAGTGGCTCGCTTCACCATCCTCATACAACAGCTCAAGACTGGGCAGGCAAGTGCCATCTTGTGCAATTTATCACGGCATCACCCATCCCTGGAGGTTCTTGATGCCTTTCTTGCAAGTCCAGAGACAACAGCCTGCCCCTCAGTCATCCAGTGAGGCAGAAAGCCTCAGTGAGGTTGAAAGCAGCATGCACCCGAGTCTGTAATTTAGAGAAGGAGAAAACAGGAAAATATTTTGTCCAAGGCCTATAAAGTTGCCATCTACGAAGGTACCTCTGAAGCCTGGGCATCTGCTGCTGGCCGATGACTCCGAGTCACTCAACAAGTTGGGAAAGTCCAACTGCACTTCTGAGAGTGGCCATGACTGGGGTGTCACAAAGTAGGGAACCAGAGGGGTGCTAAGATGATAAACAGGGACCCAGAGCCCATGTTTCTAGAGGGCATGACAAGTCCAATTTCCTCCTCCCTCTGCCCCAGGGCTCTGAACCAGCCAGACTCCCTTCCACCAAGATGCCCAGGAGGATGCTGGGTACTTCTCTGGTGCTGTCCAGAGTGTGCTATTCCGGGAAGCAGAAAGAAGTGAGAAGAGAGACGCCCCTTGGAGACATGGAGACTGTTTAATTCATCTTGTATTCCAGTGCCTGGTATAGACTGGCTTGCAGAGAGCATATAACGTCTGCCAAAAACACGATGGAGGCCCGGAGGAAGGAAACAAGTCAGCGAGCTGGGAACAAGTTGCACAAGAAGTAGGGGTGGAGAGCGAGGCCTTCTCCCACTCAGCCATGCCTGCCTTCCTTTCTTCATTCCTTTACTAAATACAAGCTTATGAAGCGATTACCGTGTGCCAAGAACTGAGCAGGGCCTCATGTCAGGGAGGAAAGATTAACCAGGGCAGAGGATGGCAGTAACCGCTGAGTCCTTACTATGAGCCAGACACAGCACAGCCTTCATGTGTAAAATCAGACCCTAACTCTCAAGGAACCCAGTTTGATTTTTAAAAGGCCAAAATCTCACAACGAATCATTGTGAGTACAGGGGACAGGGAAGGGGACCACTGAGGTAAGGGGCAGCAGCTTTGACAGGCCTAGAGGTCTCACTGTGGGCAGAGGTGACAGAGGGACAGCGGCAGAGCCCCGCGGGAGCCACCGCAGGTCTGAGCGGCCAGGACAGGGATGGGAATGGGATGGCTGGTGAGGTGGGTGCTACTCAGAGGTCACAGGTGCAGCCCAACATCACGCCTCTTTGGGGTGAGAACATCAGCTCAGAGGTGATCAGATGAACCAGCAGTGGAAGTGATACAGAGCTAATCTGTGTTCTCTGCAGTAGGAAGAAACGTGCCCCCTGCCCCTGAGGAAGAAAAGGTTTCTTTTTGTTTTCTGTTTTTTGGGGTTTTTTCCTTTAAAAAAATAACCTTCTCTGCAGTTCTCACCTCCACCAAAGGTTACAACCTCCAGCTGCCTACCAGGGCCCAGCCAGTCAGTCAAAGGCTATGTGCCAAGCCAGGGGGGAGTGTGTCCCTCTAGGAGGCAACACCTGGCCAGGCACCAGCCACCTCCTGCTGGCAGGAGGGCACAGCTTTGCCAGATCTGCCAGTGTTCCTGGAGAGCTAGAAATCCAGATTTGAGCGCAGCTCCCCGTGTTTAACTTTCGTCTCCAATTCAAAGCCATGAAAAACTCTGGGTGGGCCATCAAAACCTATGGCTGCAGCTTGTCACCTGAACTGAACTGCACCCTCCGTGGGAGACGTGTGCAAGGATAACAGATCACACAAAGGGGGAGCGAGCAGAGGGACACCTGACCGAGAGATTTTACAGACAGCCCGGAGCTCCACTTTGGGCCGCAAAGAACTGAGTGGGAAAGGGGGCAGGGGCACAGGCCGAAGAGCTGGAGCACTGCAACCAGAAGACGCAGCACTGCCAGGTGTGCCAGGCCCCTGGAGCACACTCACCGTGGTGAGGGGCGGGCAGGGCCTCTGGCCAGCTAGCACCTACAGCTTTTATCTCTGGACTCAATTCTTGCCATCACTTTATATCTGGGCTAAATCGACCCCACATGCCCTGAACACGGGGCACATGATCTATGGGAGATAGAAAGCCCAGAAGCAGGTACAGCCTGTGGATTTAGGCCAAGGGTGCTGTCATTTCTCACCACTTACAGAAGGGAGGAAGGCTTGCAGGTAAGGGTTCAAGATCAGAGTAACCTTTTGCATTTGTCCTTAATGGGGAGGTGGAGGATGGGGGATAGGGGGATAAATGGCAATGGGCCAGTAGGTGGCATGGTGGTGAAGGCAGCTGAATCCCACGTGGCTGACTCCACAGTTCAAGTCCTGTATCCTGCAGCTTGAAAAACATGCCAAGCGCAGGTGGATGAGTGTATGTCTAAAGCCCTGAGAGAATGGAAGTGAAGGGACTGCGGCGTGGCCATCCCCCCTAGTGGGAAGGTGATTTCTTATTCTCTCTCTCTGTCTCTCTCCAGTGAGCACACGTGCCCTATAGCAAACTAAGAAGAAACAAAAGGCAATATTGATGGTTCTTATGCAATGAGAATCTTTGTCAAGATTATTTAACTCAAAAACAAATAGTTTCGACCAATCAGAGATTCTCTGCAAGCAAGCGAACTGCAGCACTGCTAGGCAGTGAGAGCACCCGGACAGAAGTACGACACACCAGCCCCTGAGGCAGACTGTGGAACCCCACTCCCTCTGGGTCTACACCGTTAATGCCAGCTCTCCCCACACATCCCCCCACAGGATGCAGAGAAGAAAAGCACAGAACCTGGGCACAGATGCCCCGGGGTTACACCTTGGTGCCATAGCTCTTTAGCTGTGACTTTGATCAAGTCTTCTGACCTCAATTTGGGGCTGTTGTGTGGCTCAGAAAAGGGCTTTGCAAACTTTGAACACTACACAAATATTAATTATTCTGTCTCTTGAGAGTAATTTGATGATTAGGGGTGACTCCTGAAAGCCCTGGGGTGCAACAGTGAGTCAAGCAAAATGCTATTACTGAATCCTAACGGCGCTCTGGGGTTGGGCAGGCAGGTTCTAGCCTCCGTGGCTCCTAGCACCTGGGAGCTACACACCACTCCCTACACACCGCTCCAATCACTCTCCCCAGTTACCCGCCAACACTTACATGCCAGCAACCTTGGCCCAAAATCACACCGCAAGGAGAGATGGAAGCCCTCGGTTTTTTATAATTTCTCACATCCACCTATGCTATTAGAAGAAGCTGTTACCATAGCAACCCTCAAGGTTCAACCTGCATTATGTTAGACGGAACTGGCCCCCTCCCTCATGTCAGAAAGCCCTGTTGTTGCCTCAGACACCTTCCTGATCCTGTTGTTTAACGTGCTGACCTGGTCTAGCTTTCTTTTCCCACCATGACTCCAGCCGTGCACCCAAGCATCAGATTGTTCTGTCTCCTGACTTCCCATAGGAGGTGATAAACAACTCAGATCATCATGCCCCTCCTGCCTGACTCAACTGCCACTGAACTGACTTTCCCCACGGAAAATCTGGAGTGTAAGTCGCAGAAAGGGAGAGTTCCATTCTGGGGGTTCCATCCTTTCCAAGGAATTAGTGGGGCAGGAGGAGGACTGGGGTTGGAGACCCCTTCCTACCCTACTGTGCTACATAGTGAAGAGCCAAATGTCCTAGATATAAATTCCAGCTTGGCCTTCGATGAGCTATATAACCAGGGACAGATTACTTAGTCTTTCACACTGTTTCCCACTTGTAAAATGGAGCTAATATGACCAACATTGTAGAGTTGTAAGGATTTGATGAGAATTAAACAAGACAGTCTCGAGTGGTGCCAGAGAAACCACCAAGCAACCGGACTGGCCCTTGGCAGGCAGCAGGCAGTATTAACCCACATCCCCTTCCAGTTTATTGTCATGAAGCTGCCTGCCAACCTGGTGAGGCACCTAACTAGGTGTAGAGTCAGAGGACTCTGAAAGAAGAGACCCCCAAGGGATGCAACCGTGTGGCTTTCTGAAACATGCTCCAAGCCAATCAGAACAAAAATCCTCAGATATAAGCACACACAAGGGGACTTCAAAGAGTGTAGGAAAATGGAATTAAGTTATGAGTTTGTTTTGGTATAAAGAATTTTAAGGGACCAGCAGTTAGCGTAATGGCTATGTCGCTGGACTCCCACGTAGTTGACCGCAGTTTGCATCCCGGACCTGGTGGCTTAAAACACATGCCGGGCGTATGTGCGTGCGTGCCCAAGAAGAGGAGAACAGAGGAGAAGGGACTGCAGCATGGCCCTGCCCCCTGGGGGGTGGTTTCTCACTTTCTGTCTCTCTGTCTGTCTAGCAAGCGCACGCGCCCTATAGCAAAAAGAAAAACCTCAAAAAAAAAAAAAAGTAATTTTATATTCACACATAGTTTTTGCTTTTCTTTTTTAAAAGAGGTTTCTGCCTTAGGGCATGTGCACTAGCTAGAGAGGGAGACAGAGACAGAGAAAGAGACACTGAGAGGAAAAGTGAGAAATCACCCCCCACGCCCAGGGGGCATGGACACACCTCAATCCTTTCCCCTCTATTCTCTTCCCAGGATCTTGGGCATCCACGCACATGTCCCCAGTATGATTTTAAGTCACCGAGTCCAGGACTCAAACCACAGTTGGCCAGCAACATTAACTGCTATGCCATCTGCTAGCCCCCGTGCATAGTTTTTTCACAGTCAAATTTTCACCTCATTCTCCATACATACCTCATTCTCCAAAAAATTTTACCTCGTGCTCCCCGCCCACATACAGCTATGAAGGGAATGTAAAATTCTCATGCTATAGCTTTACTAAGGAAGCTGTCATGTTCCCATAAATATTTACATTACAACCTAATGCTCCTCAGTCCACTGAAAAATTCCACCTGACCCTACTTCACCCAAGGCAGGGGCCCCACGTGAGAAAATCGAAGACGGCTGAACCTATTCACTGTGCCCAAGGTGGCAGGCACTGGGGAGTGGCAGAGACTTCGGGAAATGGCTCCTCAACGCCGTGGTTGAGACGCTCCAGCAGCAGAGGGCAAGCTGCAGAGCCTGAGTCCCCGAGGGGCCCCCAGCTCTTCACCTTCCTTGGAGGATCCACCATCCCCTAGAGGGACTCCTCCCAAATCTGATGGGCCTCCAGCCTCACACCCGCCTCCCAGCATCGCAGACTCCGTGCCTAGATCTCTACTAGACCTTGCTCATCACCTCTGTCTCCCGAAAGCCAGACTCTAACCCTAGCCCTCCCACCCTCCATGTCCACCAGCGACCTCAGCTTCTCGCCTTCACTCCCAGTCCTCCAGGCCAGCTTGGACATGTGGTCTCCTTGCTCTGACGTCC